TTAAATAAAGTACTGTTTAATTGCTGTAACCTTGCACTTGGATCAGTTTCTGATGTGAACCCTAGCAATGAGTGCTTTTTCATGTACAAAAGCATGAAGAAGAAAAGAATCCATGAAGAGATTTATAACTATTTTATTCTTTTGGTAATACGCAGATCATTTGAGTAGAATCTCATCCAACTACTTGCCATGGAACCAAATTAAATTTCCAATAAAGAGCTGCTTATGACCAGCAAAAATGATGATTTCAAATGATTCTCCTAAATCTGAAACAGATGAGAGACCTCTAGAACCTGGCAGCCCACTTATTTAGTGTTTCCCTACTCCTAGAGCATGCCTCAATCTATTTTCACAGCCTTGTATCATGACTATCTCTGGTTGTAATAGTTTTCAAGTTCTAAAACGCTGCATCTCTTAACTGAGCTCTAATGTAGGACTCCCAGGCTCTATAATACTGGAAACGGATGAAAGCAATACTCTTTCCCCAAGCTGACTGAGGCACCTGATGTATCTGGGATCCTTAAGGGGGTCCTTAGGCTCCAGGACTTACACACACTACAGTGTGCAGCATCTTTTCCATGGCCTTTCCCTGTGACATTGATTCTTATGCTAACTAGATGAGAAATTGCAGTAGGCTTTCTTTCCATGACTATTTCATGCATCTCTGTCAATGCTTGTTTACATTCTAGGATTGAACTAATTTGTTTCCTAGTTGCTCCTGGCTGCAGCCTTCAGACAGCTCTGCTCTGCGGCCCTGTGTTTGCAACTTGGCTCCCCCTCCCCATTTCCCCCATCGCCAGTTAACCACATCTGAAGGCAAGAAGGATTAGTGGGCTCAGTGTGATGTGATTCGGGTTCTTGTGGCCCGGCCATTCCTGCTATACTTAAAGGGTGGGGGTGGGGAGATGGAAGCCCTTTATTGCTGCATGGAAGAAAGAGGAAGGGGAGACTGTGCCTTCCATGCCCACCTTAGGTGCCACCCATCTTGAAGCAACCCTATTTCTACAGTGAGCAAAAAGAGTAATCATGATGATGACTATGATGATGATTGGGGTTACTATTTACTAAAGATTAAGCACTGGCCTGCACTAATCCCTGTTCTTATGCATTACACCATCTTTTCCATAACGCCTTTCAATGATGAGATGTCATTATTACATTCATTTTTTAGCTGGAGAAACTAGGATCCGAGAGGTGAAATAATGTAGAAAAAGTCACCCAGTGGAATTCAAGCTTTAGCATTTGATAAGTCTGACACAAGAATGATGTCCTTACCATTGCTCTATGTGGCCTCCTTAAATCTTGATACGCACAGAAATCTGCAAAAATGAGTGTCTTCCAAGTGTGATCATCACTCATAAGCTGGAAATAGAGGGGATGAGTTCTGGAAACCGGATCTGGGATCAGAGATGGCATCTGAGACAGTTGTAGTCCTCCAGGTGGCATGTTTTAATTTTGTGACAGACTAGGAAGGCCTTTCCCCAAATGCCTGGATATTGGTGGAAAAGAGGACCATTTTTTTTTTTTTTTTTTTTTTTTACTGACATTCTTCTCTACAATACAGTAAGTAATTTCAGCTGTAAGAGTATTTATTTTTAACACCCCATGGGACTTCCGATGAACTATTTTCATGTTAAAGGTAAAAAAAGTTAAACCTATAAGTATTTTTATTTTTTTCAGAATTGGCTTGAAAAACATCTGGTTAATATTTTCCAAGGTTGAATCTATGCATACTCTATGAGGCACCAGTTCTGGTCCTGAATAAATACTGCATAGAAATGAACACTGATGTCCATCAAAGATGGGCCTTCAGAGCAGAGCTTATAGCCCCAAACTAGAAATGATGCAAAGGTCTAAGTATGAGAATTACATTATAGTCAAGGCCCAAAGTGAACTACTACACACCAATGAGGATGAACAGATCTCAGTTCCCCCAGGGATGTGGAAGAATCTCACACCTATCATGTCAAAGAGCAGAATTTGTTCACAGAGAAATTCATTCTGTATGAGTTGATGAATATAGGGTTGCAATACAGGCACTACTCATGAAATCAGGTATCTGCAGATCTGCTCTGCTTTCTGTGCCAGAAGGCTGAATTGTTTGAACCGTATCAGCAAATCCCATTGCTTTCTGATTTCCAGGTGGTTTGGTCAATTAGAAGCTGGAAGGACATGATACAATTCTTAAAATTCTGCAAATTAGCAAGAGACTGAAGCCAGATGTGGCCCTTCCCGCAAGGCATACGTACTCTAAAACCTGACTCAATGTAGACTGTAAGAAACTGACAGATTTTACTTATATCTATATTGCAGTTTAACAGCCAATTGATCTATCTGCATAATAAAAAAATGGTCAAGAATACTCAAGATACTGTCTCCCCAGGTTATGTATATTTTTCAGAAACAAAGAGAAACATAAAATGTCAGCAGAAAGGGAGTGGCTACAACATTTGTGGAAAGCGTGCAGTACTGCTGCTCTACTCTGGTCCCCTTTAAGCTGGCACTAGGCCACTGTCTCACGTTGCAGGGCTGCCTGGCCAATAGTTGTGTGCTTATGAGTAACAACATTGTCACAAATAGTTCATCTCTATTCTCCTACTAATAATCAGGGTAGTAGAGGACCACAAGCATCATTTCCTTTTCCTATGTTTGGGAAGTTTTCCTTAATTATTTCTGTAAATAGCCTTTGTAATTCCTTTGTTTGTACCCCTGCATCTTCATTCACATTCTTTATTCTCAAGTTATAGATCCTCTTGCGTCTTCCAGCCTTTGTTTTGTTATTGCTTGTTTCTTTGTTATTTTTAAAAAGTTTTTCCTTTCATAATACCACATTGCAAACGTGTCCTCCAGTTTGGATAATCTATCCTTAGTTTCTTTCAAGCAGATTTGCGATCTTTCCAAAGAGCTTTTCATTTCCTGATAATCTCTTTGAGTCTGCTTCATGTATTCTATATTTTCTTTATATTCTCTATTAAATAGTTCTCTCCTTTGTTTGAGTTTATCCCTTCTTCTGTCTGTGTCTTCTTGAGGGGTACTTAGCACCTCTTTTATTAATCTTCTTATATCTTGCTTTACTTGGCTAAATATTTCACTTTTGAACTCATCTGTGAGGTCCTAAAGATATCTCTTTATGTCCACTGGTGCCATGCCTGATATTGCATGTTTGCTGTTCTCATTCTCCTTTTTATTTACCTGTCCTGTATCAATGTTCTCAGGGTTGGGACTTGGGGACTTTTCATTGTTGCTTCCTCTTCCCATATTTTTTTGTTTCTTCCAGGAGGCCCCAGTTTCTTTCTTTGTTGGTTACAATTCTTCTGAAGCATGCTGGCTAGGTGACCCTTCCCACTGCAGTGTGCTAGTGAGTTGCAGACAGGGTCAGTATATGCTGGCCCCTCCCATCCAGATCAGTCAACCTGCTGAGGCCTTCAATATATTAGTGTGTGCCTCCGCCATAAGGAGTTGATTTCAGATAACCTATTGGGTGTCAGCCAGGTCACGTGACCCAGGCCAAGCTCACTCCACCAATCTTGTTTGAGAAGGGAACAGCTGACTGAAGTCACTGCGGTGCTTGTACTTGCCAGTCCTGCCTGGTCCCAGAGTGCTGTCCACCGGAGCCCTCCTTTCTATGGAATGACTCCACTCCTGTCACTCACCACAGGTCGATGCAGGTTCCCCCCAGCTCAGCTCTCCATTTATCTGGCTGAACCCCAACCTCAGTGTGACTGCGCCTCCAGTGACTTGAAGTGGCAGGACTTCAGATGGCTCGGCAAATTGCCCACTGCGGTGGGAGCACTGAACCTTTAGCTGTTCCAGTAATAGCACTGGGACTGTATGTTTGATTGGTTCTTCTCACCTTAGTTTCTTCTTGGGTCGAGAGAATTTATCTCCCTCTGTTTGGGACTCCCCACACTGTATTATGTTGAATTCTAAGTTGACTATCTCAGGGAGCCTCTGTAACCAGCTATTATCTATCCATCATCTTTGCTCAAATCCTAGGGAATTTTTAAAAACACTACTCTGCATCTAGAATATGAGGCATCATAGTTGCTCTATAAGTCTTCTTTTGAAGGAAAGCAAGAAGGTACAGAGAGGAGGAAGGAAGAGACAGAGATTCCTCCTGTCTAGTATGTTGACATTTTTTGGTCATTGTTCTCCAGGCAAAGTATCTACAACAAAAGCAGCAATTATGTAACAGAGGTCATTTGTGAGCTTTAAAGATCTATTTTCATAAGCTCATGCAGTGACACCACCATTGAACACATCTGTTTGATATGCAAAATCTAACTGCTGAGAGATGCGGAAGGTGGAAGCCACCCAGGCTGGCTTGAGCAAATTAACACAGGCTCAAGGCAGTTGCCACAAAGCCCACCCCTATTTGTTTGAAAGTAGGCTTGGGTGTGAAACTCCTGGAAAATGGCTATGCTGAAATAACTGCAGAGATACAAATAGCTCACCAGAGCCATGCAGACATTCTGCTACTTAATAAAGCTAACAAAACAGTGGACTTTATTGATGTAGCTGTTTCCCTCGGCAGAAGCATCACAAAAATCTGTCCAGACAAAACAAATAAGTATGCAACTCTGGCAGAAGAGTTAATGCAAGTGTAGAAACTAAGGGACATCAAAGTGAAGGCAGCTATCGTGTTGGCAGGAGGGATTTGTTCTCTGAAAATGCGTCTCATCTCAGGTGGAGGCACTCTGGGGTCATGTAGGAGAGTGCCCTTGCTTTTGTTTGCACGATGTGGACTGCTGTTTTGACAATAGCACCCTAATTTTTCCTGGGGTCCCAACTTTCTACAACTGAAAGTCATTAGGGTGAACTGAGCCTAATTCCATCCCAGGATGGAGGAATTAGCCCATGACCCAGGAGTAGCCATTGAAAATGCCACAGTGTCACACTACAGCCATTGATTTAGAAAAGACCACATGGCAGAAGTTGTAACTGACAGGCTCCTTCTCTTAGAATTACCTGGAAACTAAAAAAAGACATTATCTTTCCAGCAGGTTGCTGACCTTCTACATGGAATTGGTGATCATCTTTGCCACTACAAGAGGAGTACTTGGCTGAAAAAAACAAAGCCAAAAAAGAAGGATATAGGAAGCAAAAGATGGAGGAAGGGTCCTGAAGTCATGATGCCTTCTAAATTTTCCAGCGCAGTTCATTGCTCTTGGGAAAGAAGTGCTAAGTACAGTCTGAACTACTTTGCCTCAGTTTATTGGACTGAAGAGGAATCCAGGAGACCAGCCCTCTCACTGAAGGCCCTGTACACTGGCAGTATCAAATGTTCAAGCTATGCTCTCTGGCAGATTTGAAGTCTCTTCCAGAATTCTCCTCCTTTTCCACTTAGGTCTCAGTCTTCAAGGTCCAATGGAGAAGATTCTATTTGAAGATTTCCCTTTCGCCTGCCCACTGTGCTGATAATGCCTCCTTTCTTGTCATCTCAGGATTTTCAAAGCCTCCAACACTCTCTCTGAAAATTATTTGTCACCATGCACCCCCCACTGGACTGAGGAGCAGGGACCATTGAATAAGTATCTCTGACCCTCATCAGCCTACTCCAATTGTCACATCGTTGTGGACAGTGAAAGATAGATGTAGTACCATGAGAATGACAATGTCTATGGTCTTATACAGCTCTGATGAGAACGTTAGACTTTCTCATGCCTTTGAGGTTCTTACTCAGGGGAGAGACAGGATCTAGCCTGAGGTGAGTCTCCCTGACCTGTTGATGTGGTCCCTGCTTTGTTCCCAAGAGAAAGCCTCAGTGTGAGCTGCAGTCTTAGCCCTGGTCCTGACAGATACTCTGAACTTCCTCTTCTGCTGTGCCTGTCTCTGCACTCTCCTGCTCATGTGGGGCTTCTGAAGCAGGCCTTTCCACTCAGGCTGTGTGGTCAGGCTGTGGATCTTTTCCTTCTTAAAGCAGATGTTGCCTCTTGTGCAGATAAAGCAAAAAGATGTTGATGGAGATTCAATTTCAGTGGAACAGAAGTGATGCCTGTAATTCTAGCACTCAGTCTGTACCTTGGGAGGCTTCTGTGTCAGGCCAAACTTTATGCCCTACTCTGGGACCCTGCTTTGGAATCCTAACTTCCTCTTTTATAGACTCTTGGCTCGAAAAATATCTGAAGAGTGCTTCAGTTCTCTGACTATCTCATTGCTGGTCATTTCTTATTGGTAGGAGCTGGCCATGTTGCCCTGGATTCCAAAGTATAGTAGTTCCCTAGTCAACTCAAAGCTCCTACTGCAAAAAGGATGTAGGAAAAGATTATGTTACTTGGAAATTGTAATACCTCTTTGCTCACTCATGGAGGTCAAACCCAGAGAGAAAGCCTTGAGAACCTGCAGTCTGCTGTCCTTAGAGCATATTTCCCCACATTTAGTGGTTTGCTCTTTATAAACAGGTGAAAAATAAGCAAAGAGCAAGCACAGGAGCACACATCTTTACTTTTAGCACTCTGGGAGGCTAAGGAAGGAGGACTGCAAGTTCAAGGCTAGCCTAGGCAACTTAGTGAGACCGTGTCTCAAAATAACCAAAAGAGTTGGTTGAAGGGACAGAGAGGTGAACAAGGTGGCTTTCCAATGTCTAGTTCTTTAGAGAGATGCAAACATGTTACTTGGATGACAAAATGGATCTCTCCTTTCAGTAGATATTGCCCCTTGTGCAGCTAGAGCAAAAAGATATTGATGAAGATTAAATTCCACGGAACAGAAGTGATGCCACAGAACAAGTCAGCATCTCCCAAGATCCAGCCTTGTTGGAACTTGAGGGATTGAACAATAAAGCCACACAAGTCCTTCCTCCTGGTAAGTGGAGGTATGAGCAAGTAGTGGGTGCACCAGGAAGAGAACAAGTCGGCACATGGGCTGAGGATCAAATGTCCCCTCATACTCCGGGTTAGCAACTGGATGGTGTCCAGGTCAGCCTGAGTTGATAGCAACTAAGGCACAAACAACTAAAAGCGTATATTGTTGGGTTGATTATGCTGACATGGGGCCAGAGCTCTGAGCATCTCTTGGGAGAATGGCAGTATGCAATATAGCAAACACGGGGGATTTCCTTCTAACTTATCTTTGAAGGCAAGTATTATTTTCACTATTTTGCTTTGTTCTGATTAATTGTTTTGCTCTATTCAATATTCTGTTTTGGTTGTTTTATAATGTTCTGTTTTTGGTTTGATTTTACTATACCTGATTGAAAGGACAACTATTGTGAAGATAACGAGATATACTATGGCACCTATTACTGTTATCCTGGTAATCTACCCTGAATTTCTGTACCAGTTTCACTGCATTGTCTCGACTGGCTTTGTTCTGTCATGTTTTGTTGTATTTTACTACCTTCAAAATAAAAAAAGAAGTCATATCAATTTTCATGTAAATATCTCTGTTTTCTGAGTAACAGAATTTGCTATTATATCTGCTACATTAAGTTACATTTGCTTTCAAAAGTATATAATTGGATTTGTTTTCTTATCATACTTGATTAAGTTATTAAGATAGCAATGAATCATATAATATTTTGATGTGAGAGGAAAAATTGATTGAAATTTGGAAGACCATCCAAAGAGAAAAATGAGTATCAAGAGTATTGAAATGTGATATAGAGGGATGGTGGAAATAGTTTTTGAAGGCTCATCTGCTGAAAGGAAAAGCCAGGACCACTAAGTTGGCTATGTGGGGCCCCACCATGCACTGAAGGCCAAGGGAGGGTCTGGTTTGGTTTCCGTGGAGCCTGAAAACAGAGTGGGAAGAGTAGTGAGCTTCATGTCATCTGCATGAGTCAAAGTGGATCTAGTGATCAGGGAGAACTACTTCTGCGGTAAAAGTGGAGACCAACCATTATAAAACTGGAAATTAAAGGGGTACAAAAGGCTTACTTTCTCAAATCTCGTGTGTCCTTCTATTAGACTGCATAGGTAAGTTGAATGGAATGTAAGGAAATTGTTTGATTTATTGTTCGCAGTTTTCAGAAAAGGCCCGGGATAGTGTCAAAACCTGGGGTTCAAAAACTCAACTCCCTATGGGGATCAGAGAGATGACACGTGAGAGGAGAGCTGGAGCTGGTGGGGACTGCAGGTCCTGAGAACACAGGCTCATGTAAGGTCAGTGCGGCGAGCTCCTGCTCTGGGCTTCTGCCCTCGTGCCCAAGTGCCTCATTTCCTTAGCCTGCCACACCCTTTGTGCTTTAATCAAGTACTTGGAGGTTATTGCTTGGTGGACAGAGCAGATGACACCTCTTCTTGATTTAAAAAGTATCCTAAACTTGAAATGCATTTGAAATTGTGTTGGGGAGGGCTAGCCCAACATCAATGTGATTTGCAAGGGGCAAAATGGTTATAAAGTATTTTGGTTTTGGCTCAGCATAAGCAGAGCTTGAGGCAAGGATGTAAGCTCAAGGAGTTTATAAGGACCATGGTCTCAGGGATTACTGTTGATGGGAGTAGGGAAGGGAAACAGGGACTGTAAAAAGGTCACTAAAGTATGCACTGAGAACAGGTTATGCCTCTGTGTATCAGAGGACTCTGGGAAACCCTGGCCCTGTTTCATAGTGTGCTTTTTGATTAGGAAGGAAGCCAGGGCATTCATGTCATGTTCCCCTCTTTCCTTGGTCAAGAGCTGCTCCCTGAGCATGTTCACTCTTGGCATTTCTGTTCAATTTCATGAGAGGTGATCACCTACGCTGTCTGATAGCACTAACAGGTGTCAGAAATGGTGAGTGCCAAAGGAATTTATAATGGACACTCATAATGTCCCTGAATCATGGACTGCCATCAGGAGCTGGATTAGCCAAGACTGGTCACATACTGGAAGAATGGGTTTTTTTTTTCTTTAGGTGCATGGAGAAAGAGCAGTATTTTGAGATCCTCTAAAGAAGAACTTTCGATATGTGCCTTAGTCACAGTTGGGAGGTAATCAACTGGGGTCATTTCTCCTGATATTTCCAAGGAAAATTCAACCCTCAAATGGCAAAATTCTCTAGGGCATCAATATTTCTTGTCAGCAGTCAGGCTTCACTCTGGCATGATCTGGCTGTGTGGCATCAGGCAAGTCCTTGCCTGCCCTGAACCCCTAGTTTCTCTGTCTGCAGAAAGCGGCAATCAGGCACATCTATAATTCTGACTCTGAGGCTTTGGATTTTGTTCTTTAAGGGAAGGAGAGCTGAGATTGGGGTGGGATGGTGTAAGATTCTGAGGACCTTCTGAATTCAGTGGAAATGTGGAACCCAGAGTATTCCAAAACAAAGTGATATATTGCTTTGTGTTCTCACAGGAAAGGAAGTCAGGGAATGCGTGAGTGACAGAAGTCCCAGAATGTGGGAGGGTGAGACTGAGAATCTGAACACATGTTCTTTTTTCCAAGAAGGTGCTGCCTGGAAGCTTCTTTGATCCATAACTTTGTAAATGAAGTCAGCAGCCTGTGCCTGCGTGCCTGTCACATCGTGGCCTTTAAACAGGGTGGGTGATGGATAAGGGAGTTTCTTGCTCACTTCTACCCACAGATGTCAGGACATCCTGCCCTCCCTGCCTGGGTCCTTCATTTTCCTGGCTTTTCTGCTCCCCCTTGTGCCTTAATCAAGGCCTCTGAGGTAATTGCTTGGTGGACAAACAGCTTGCGGCCCAGTGTGCAACTAACAATTAGTTTAGAGACTGTGATCTATAAATTTTGAGGAGAGGGAAAGAGGATTTGATGCACTTGGGCTATCGTTTCTAATGAAGAAAAATAACACACCGGAAGGGATCCACAGTGTTATTGAAGCAGCTTAATATCATCTGGTGGTGATTTGTAGGCCTCGATAATGTCCTGTGATCTTGGAGAGAGAAACAAAATGGGTGGGAGCACAAGTTGCTGTTGTTTGGGTTTCTTAGAGAAAAAAGAGAAAAAGAGAAAAGCCTGTCATTCTGTGTTTATGAGATTTATGACGTATGGGCCACCATCTGTATAAACCCCACCAATCTTCTGTCACCGTCTCTCCACTTTGTAAACTAGGCCGAACCAAGTGGGACACCAGTGGAATGTCATCCTATTTATTGTTTATAAAAATAAACTGGCTGGCCGGAGATGTATGTGAGGAATTTATGTCCAGCAGCTGCACAAGCAAGTGTCTGAGGGACAAGGGAACTGAGGAAGTGGAGAGGGGCTGGGGATGTGACCCCCGGCCTAGCACGACTCTCCCATCAGCCAGGAGAGGACCACTTTGGGAGATGAAAGGGAAGGAGAACAGAGGAGGGAAGTGGAGAAACAGCCAGACTCAACATGCAGCCAGGTCAAAGCCCCTTTCTCTTAGACCAAAGAGAAGTCACAGTATCTGAAGCACTGGCCTTGATGAGACATGTCTTCCTCATTTGCAAAGAGACGCTGGAATGAGTCCTGAGGGGGCATCTGTGTGGTCTTTTTGTGGTGTAAAGAGCAAAAGAAGGAAAGGAAAACCAAGCAATATTTCCTAGTGAGTCGCTGTTTTAAAAGCTAGGAGTTGTCTGTTTCCTGCTTCATTTAAAAAGGCTGAATCCAGTGGGTGTCATCCTGGTCCCGGAGCCAGTGGAGAGAGCATGATAGGCTTCCATGAGCCCGCCCAGCTGTGGAGCACCATGAGCAGGTCCTGAGCTTTGTCACCTGCTCGTGAGCTGGCGGTCCCAGGACAGAATTATTCAGTTTAGCTTTATCTCTGAACCCCGATGACAGGAGAAGACTAAGATTCAGAAGTTTGCAGGATGTGAGAGTTCAAACGGTTCTCAAAGGTGGCCCTATGAGGTGCAGTCTATAGGAGGCACAACCATCAGTGTTCTACAGCACAGTAAGATAATTACGGTTGACAACAGCAAATTGAATATTTCAAAATAGCTAGCAGAGAGGATTTTGAATGTTCCCAACACAAAGAACTGATAAATGTCTGAGATGATAGATGTCACAATTACCCTGATCTGATCATTATACATTGTGTACATGTATTAAAATATCACTGTGCACCCCATAAATATGTACAATTACTATGTGTCAATTTAAAGCTAAAAATGTAGGAAAAGAGATGGTCTCGTGAGTCCTCTTATTTTAAAAGTGGGAAAACAACCCAAGTGGCAAAGCAACTTTCCCACCACATAAGTGGACAGCACAGGGTGAGAAGAGTCCTCACCAGCCCTTTATCCAATCGTTCTGCTTTTTCCCCCTGCCCTGGGACTTCCCTGCCCCTACAGTCTAATCTCCAGATGTAAGCCAGAGTGATGACAGGAGCATAAATCAGTGTCCTATCTAAAACCATCTCCAATACCCAGAGAGCTTATGCTACATGTTACGGCCCCTACCAAGGTTCTTATACTTCTTATCTGAACTCTTACGGGAACTCCACTGGCTCTAGAAGCAGTGGCCTTCTCTTTGCAACTTGAGCTTGCCAAACATCTACCCCAGAGCCTTTGTACTTGCTGTTCCCTCCTACCTCAAAGCCTCTTCCTGGGAATCTTGCTCCTGGTGAATCCTTCACTTAAACATCCCTGCTTCAGCGAGGGCTGTCTTGACTATGGAAGGTAGCATCCTTCCACTGCAAGTCACTCTCTTGTCCTTTAAACATTCAAAAATAATTTACTGAGTTTTTTCTTAGAGCACTTATTGCAATTGAAAATAGTATAATGTATTCTGCTGGTTGTTTATAGACTTGCTTTGCTCATCAGTTATTTGATTTGAGAAAGAAGGCTTTCTTATTCTGAGTTGCCAGTGCCTAGAATTGTGCCTGTTGTGGAACAGTCACATACTCGAAATTCATTCATTCACTTATTCAGTTACATTTCCTGGTTCGCTCATAGCTGATGATCACATGAAACCTCCATCCTTAGTGAAGAAATTAAAATAATAAGTAAATGGCTGAGCCAGAAGTCTTTAAGTGGGGCAGACTGCCAAGGGGAAGAAAGAGCACAGAGGTGAGCAACACTGTCTGTTAGCTGTGTGCCATTTACAGATGGCTTTCACATGCTCTTTAACACTGGGCTTGCATGTGTCAGACATCTCCAGGGAGGAGGACCAGAGCTTTCATTAATATCACTAAGGCATCCTCCTCCTCAATATAAGTTAAATACCCTTAAGTTAAGCTGTTGACACATAGGATTGTTGCAGAATTATGACTGCATCTCTTAATTTCTGTAAAACAATAAAACTTTTATCTAATTTGGGGTAAAATGTCTAAATATTCCAAATTTATATGTTATTATAGTATTGGTCATTTATTTATTGAGTAACTGCCAGGGCAAACACTGCTCTAAATGCAGCAAAGACAGCAAGGTCATGGCAAAGAATATTCCTGCTCTAAAAAGGTTTCCTTCTAGGGAAGTGAGGAAAGCAGACAGCCAATAAGCAAATGAAGATGCAGGATAAATCCAGGTGA